AAATTCGACCGACAACGCTTCAGGTGATAGCCCTTCGTATGATTTCATATTCACTGAGATTAGGGACATGCGGTCTTCAAGTGTTCAGTTCTCGAGATACAGGGCGTTAAAAGTTAAGAACTAACTGAGCTGAAATGAACAAATTTCGAGATATTCGACCCGAAATAGAAGATTGCATAGTGATATTTCATCATTTTCAGTAGTAGAAGTTTGCAAAAAATTCTGGTGTTGAGTATAGATTAGATACTATTCAGATCTCATTCTATAGCTGAACAGAAATAGTTATTCCACGCATAATGAGAAAAAAAAAACATTTTTGTAATTTTCTACTTTACTGAGGAAGATGAAAAATTACTATATAATATGCAAACTTCTATTTTGGGTCAAATATCTCGATAACTGTTCATTTTAGCTCAGATGAAGATGATGCATTACTTTTTCAACATAATTGAACAATCAATTCGAGATATTGGAAATAATATTCAACAGGAATATTTCGTCTTGGAATGCATTGAACTAACTATAGCATGAACCCATTGTTGCCTCAAATTCGCATCTTCACTTTCCGGGAAACGGGTGTCTTGATAATTTGACACCTCCACCTCTTGGAGTGCAAAATAACATTGCAAAATATATAACACAATCGCACTCACAAACCAATCAACAAACTATAATAGTATAACTATATATATGCATTACCATAGAATAAATAATTATACCTATATACTTATATAAGTATATATAGGCATAATAAATTGTGTATTCGACAGAAAATATCGAAATCAATTTTATTCAATAAGTTTAGTCCAATTGACAATCTAACTACTTCACTTTTTTTCTATTTTATCACTAGGTATACCTAGCTTTGTTCAATTCTCAACAAACCAAACAAATACATAATACATACTTGATAAAAAAAAAAAGATTGCGCCTCCTTAAATCATCTACCTAAACAAACCTTATATAATTTTGAACAAAACATCAGGCAACGAAAAAAACAAGACTACACCGAAAAAAATATTCGGTATAGTACCTACACTGAGAGAAAACTTGAGTTATCATAATTGGAAATCTGATACTCCTTAAATCATCTACCTAAACAAACCTTATATAATTTTGAACAAAACAGGAAACGAAAAAAACAAGACTACACCGAAAAAAATATTCGGTAGTACCTACTTATATATATACCTAAGTAAATAACTAATCTTCCTCAAAATCAAGTAGGTACCGAATATTTCGGCCAACCTCACAAGGTCGTAAAACTCCTGATCCGTGACACTATACAGGGTGTCCCATAAGTAATGGATCATCATGAGAAGTGGGGTGGTAGGGGGGGGGGGGTCATTTACAATCAAACTAACCATATAATATGTGGTTATCCTAACGGATTATGGAATACAATACAGGGTGTCCCATTTGAAAATCGAAAGTTGGGGTCGTTTCTGGCGAAACTGGAAGTGATAGAAGATAGAAGAAGAATTGTTTCATCAATTGATGAGCAATTTGGTATACTTGCTACCCACCAATTTTCAAAACCCTATTTCGAATAATTCAAAAGTTACAGCGGTCTTGGCCATTTTTTGTGCACTTCCTGTCTGGGTCTATATCCCTATATATTTTGTAGGTATATCTTTTCTTCTTAGAATCACCAAAGAACCCTAAATAGAGATGTCGTGACGAAATTTTTTTACTGAGCAAATCCAACTTGTTTTGCAATATTCTAGCAACGGGCCACATTTTTTTGAAACAAATTGTATATACAAAATATCAATGATCACAGTACCACAAGATCATCACACTAATCGCAATTTAAATCCACTCGACCATCAAACTCCCACATCAAGAAAAGCGAGATTCATGACGCTCTAAAAATCGTACTCCAGCCTCAAATCAATATGCCCAATAAAACTATATAAATATACAATATCACAGTCGAGCACGGCCCTCTTGTACCTCGAGTGGCTCACAATAGGCCGATGGGATGAGCGACAGCTTCCCCGAGATTAATCCGGCTCAATGGGACCCTCATCGTGGGCCCCTCACACGCCAATCTCACCCTTATCCTCCGGTGATATAAGGCACAGGATCGCTCGCGCGACTCGCCACGCCCACCGACGCGCCCATTGGTGGAATCGACCATGGCCACGCCTCTCCCGTTCGAAGCACCGTGGCCACAGCACAAGGACCATGTACTCTTGGAGGACACTCTAAGAGTACGCTTAGGCGAGTTAAGCACACTTCGAGTTAAAGAGTCTTACATCAAGAGTGCTATATCCCGATCACTGATTTATTTATATAGTTAGTCAGTTTGTTTATTGGATTCGGCGATCGGATCGAGTGGGTTTTCTTTCGAGGAACGCGTCGGTTGGCTGTTTTGCGGGACGAGTGCGGGTTTTGTGGTGACTGTTGGTCCGATATACGGTGTTTTTTTTTTCACATGGATTGACTGTGTGCTCTTCTGTCGTTCTTGTGTGGAGCCGCCGCGGTTTACTTGGTTGGTCCTGGAGTCCATGTCGGCAGGTCAGTCGGAGGTTTGCTTATATTGTTTTCAGTTTTTAGTAGGATATATACCATTTTTTCTATACATATCAGTGTTTGTCAAATTCAGTGGCATAGGTATTGAACGCGTTTGAAGACTGAACAAGTTTGCCTGAAACTTTTGTAAAATATATCATCGTTATAGCTTTCAGCGAAGTTATAGGTATTATATACCTAGGTATATAACATCGGAAGTAACATCTTTATTCTTGATTTTTATTCGAGATAATCACGAACCAATAAAGATGATGGTGGCAAATAAACGTTAAATTCTGCATGAAGTAATATTTAGTCATCATGCAATAAGCAAAGCACCTATAAAGCATAGAATCATTAATTGTGTCCAGTTTGGATTCCAGAGTGAAAAAAGTACAGGTGATGCAATGTATAATCTGTTACAAGTGTTACAACATGTCTATAGCTGATGTCGCAGCAGTATTTTGTGATCTGACAAAGGCGTTCGATTGCGTAAACCACAAAATTCTGCTGAAAAAATTGGAAAGATATGCGGGTTTAGAGATAAAAAGTCCTATAGTATATAGGTACAATGGTTTGAGTCGTATTTGTCTGGAAGAACTCAAAGTTGTGTTGGATAGATTATAAATTAGAAGTTGAGTGTGGAGTACCTCAAGGGTCAGTGCTGGACCCAGTTCTCTTTCTGCTCTATATATAAATGATTCAATATATAGCAACTATTGATATTCGAGGAGAATTCACACAGTTTGCAGATGACACGACGATTCTGTGGCGCACAATCGAGATGTATCGAAATTGCAACAAATTATTGTTGATATATATAATATTACAAGAGTCAAAGATCGGTATGATGTGATTCCAATATGTTTTCATTGATTATTTCGAAAACGAATATCCTCACTTTTCATTGCAACTTGCAAGAATTGTTTCTTGGTAGGTATAATAATAATTCTGATGCGTAACAAAATTTCTGGGTTTACACATTGACAATAAATTACGAGGTTTGAAGAACATATTGACAAAGAAAAAGTTAGCCTCTGGGTGTTTTACAGTTAGAACAAAATCTCGCGGGAACTTGGTAAAGATATTAGACATATAGCGAAACTGGTAGGTATATAATTTGCTCTTATCGACTCCCATTTAAGATATGGAATTTGTTTTTGGGGGTCTTGCAGTCAATTTTTATTTGATACCTATGATATTCGTGTTACAAAAGGGAGCAGTATAAGGTATTTATGTGAAATTAAATTTAGAGATTCTTGTAAGCCTTCGTTTATTGAAAATAGAATATTGACACTGCCATGTATCTTCATTTTGGAAACGTGTCTTATTCACATCAGTAGGTAAATATACATGACATACATGATATACCAATCGTTATAACACAAGACAGGCTATGATGGATATATCGGTACCAATATCATCTTCTATATACTCAAATCAAAAACTCCTTCTTTCTGAATGGGAAAAAACTTATTCAAGCATGCACCGCGCACTCAAGACTTAGGTATATCACATTAGATGAATAGATATATAGGTAACTAAAGCCACATATTTTATTCAAATTAATCCTGATGCCTTCCTTCTTTCCCACACACCTCAACTTTTCCTGCTCAATTTGATTGGTGTTTTCATGCGTGATAGCTTCAAACCTTCCAACCAAAGTGTTCCTGTTGCAAGCACAACTCAAGTGTTCCTGATAAAAGTGTATATATAGGTATAGATATAGGTCAAGGTATAGGTACTATGTGAACAATGCTGAAAACTGAAATATACTTTCTAGACTCAATTCATGATTGAAACATGATTATATAAATTTTATATGCTCTGCCGCCCATGTTCGTGATTTTCCCGAATAACCATCATCCTTCTCATTTGTTTCTCTTGCACAACTTTTTGCCTATACAAACTCGATTCGATGCGGAAAGATATATTTGCTTTATATAGAAAATGGCTGTGTCATCTGCGAATCCGACAATATTTCCATCATTACCAAGAGAAAAAACAATCTATCAGTATATATTTTAAATGATGTTGGGCCTAGCACGGAGCCTTGAGGTACTCCGCAGTCGATGACCTGATCATTGTTCAAAGCATCGTCAATTCTTACCATTTGATATCTTTCGCTCAAGCAGCTCTCAAGTAATTTCAGTATGTCATTTCGTATTCCAATATCTTCTATAATAGGGATTGCAGAAGGAGGTGATGACTGACAGTGTCACACAGAGAGATGGCTTGCTCTCATTTATAGAGCTTCAACTACTTTTGAAGTAAATGACGAGATAGCGTCCTGAGTCGAAATGCCCTCTCTCAAACCAAACTGATTGCATGTTTGATATTATATTATATTCACATATATAACTCAGCAGGACTTTTTTATGTATATCCCTGATGAAAGGATAATTGTGCGTACCGAATGTACGTTCACGCATCCTTCTCATTTCCTCTCTTGCACACCTTTTTGCCTATACAAACCCATTTCGATGCGGATAGATATCTATATCATAAAGCTAAAACACAAAACCTCACCGGTCGTTCCCTCGCCCCCAGGTGGCAGCTACGGGGAAGGCCCCGCGGTACCCCCTCCAGGTGGCGGCGACAGACCCGACCTGCACGGCCTCGTGCTGCCCGAGCTCAATGGCGTCGAGCTGGCGATGAGCCTCAGTCCCAAACACCTCCACCACCAGCACCAGCAGACCGGCCAGCAGGCGCTCAGCCACCACCTGCAGCAGCTGCACCAGCACCACCACCACCACTCGACGCCGTTCAGCGTCACGGACATCCTGAGTCCCATCGAGGAGTCCTACAGGAAGTTGGAGCTGGCTACCAATCCGCCATCGCCCTACAGGTTCGTCGTGTTTCGATATATTTCCATTATTAAACCCATATTATTCTAAAAAACTGATGCACCGGAATTGTCATCGATTTCCGTTCATTTTGGTCCTTCGCCAAAGCTGTAGGAAGAAACTTCACTTCCAGCTCGTTTCCTCCTCTAACCAATAAGGAAGATGGAACACTATAGCCACAACTGCACAGGAGAAAGCCAACATTTTTGCGCATTTATTTGCTGGAAATTCCACTCTGGATTCATCGGGAAAACAAACTCCAAACATAACGCCAATTGACAGTCATATGCCCGAGATCACCTTTCGCCAACGTACTATAAGGAAGATTTTATTGGGTCTCAACACCAACAAAGCTTGTGGCTACGACGGAATCCCACCGATTGTTCTCAAAAAATTTGCTCCCGAACTAACACCTGTTTTTTGCAAGTTGTTTCAACTTCTTTTACAAATTGGGGATATTTCTGTCCAACTGGAAAATTGCAAGAGTACAACCAATTCCTAAAAAAGGCAAAAAGACCCTATACCTAGCAAACAGACCGATCGCACTGCTATATCTATTATTTCAAAGATCATGGAGAAAGCTATCAACATCGAGCTCATGAAATACCTGGAACATTCATCAGGTGTTATCAATGATAGGCAATATGGCTTCCGTCATCAGAGATCAACTGGTGACCTGCTCGCTTACGTCTCACATAATTATATGGCAGCAATCTATTGAAAAATATGGTGAATAAACCTTATAGTCGTGGTACTTGATATCTCCAAAGAATTCGATAGAGTCTGGCACCACGGACTCCTCGCCAAGCTTCCATCGTATGGCTTGCCTCCCAAGCTAAGTTCTCTGCTAGCTAGTTTTCTCTTAAACAATATGCTTGAATTTGAACAAAGGTATGCTCATAGTGATTTGGTTATGATTATAACTCATGAAAGTGTTTAGGGTAAATTTAATTTGAATACTAAAATATGTCTTAGGAGGCCATGTTTTGGTATTTAGGCATAACTCTCAATTGGAAACAACTTTTCTCTTAAACATTCTGCTGAATTTTTTGAAATTAGGGTACTTTACTCTTGAGCCATTTTTATACTTTTTGACCTAACCTGAATGCTGTTTGACTTGCAACCATTCTAAGTGCACCTAAAATGATTACCGAACATGCATCAACTTTCGACACTATCTGTATTTTGGTTGTGCAATACGTTAAAAAGAGGCCCATATGTTGCACACTTAAATGACCACACTGTACATATATGTCGATTCAAACTATTATTAAACATACCCATTGTTATATTATGGTCATAATTCAATAAACACGAGCACAAATGACGTGGACAAGGGTTACACTTGCTCACAACTCGGCTGCCTGCCGAATACTACTATATATATGAGCCAGTCTTCACACACGTCTGTCATAGGCTCTGATCTAAGCACATTCCACTGAGTAGTAGCGCATCTAGTTGCTAGATGCTAACACCCATAACAAGTTTTCTTCATGGGTGCTATAACTAGGTACACTGGATTAATATTATTGCGTACTCGGGGATATGGGTATATGTATACACATCTATTTGTGGAAATAAATTATTGATATTATTATTATCGGTGATGATTGTTGCAGATCGACATCCAGCGGCAGCAGCATCACCTCCCCCGGAATAGGCGCGGGCAGTGGCGGCGGCGCGTGCAGCATGAACGGCGGGTACCCGGTGATGGGCCAGTTCGGGGGCGGGCAGTACTGCCCCGTCTCCGAGAACCTCGGCCTCGGCGCTCCATACTCGGGAGGCTGGTACCAGACCTCGGCGGCCGATCCCCGCTTCGCAAGTAAGTAGCACACCATATTATAATTATGTCCACCGCATCATACACTCAGTGTAGTCCAGAGAGTAATTGACATTTTGTGTCTTATTCTTATATGTATGTTTTTTTTAGAAACATTAAGTTGGTCGATCGCTTTTAACCTAGATATTTTGTGACAGATCGCCGGCACTGTAAGTCTGAGCACCCCTGGCATACATGCACCCTTGTATCTCACGTAATCGTTGGGTAAGGATCCTGAAATTTGCTGGAGTGAGAGATATACCGAAAATGCACTCTATGACTAAGTGGGGTCATCTTCAGTGATATACACTGCTCGCCATCAGCCATGGAACCACCCCAATTTCCGGAAAATGATATTATAGGAGTCAAAATAGGTCGAAAATCACTTCAGATTCGGAATCAGGACGCCCAATAAACTACTGGTACTGGTACTGGTGGGGGACGTTTCCACGTCAGCAACTAGTCCCCAATGGGACCTTTTTGCCAACCCCAAGTGTTTTCAATGACTGATGTGGTTCGCTCAAGAGAGCTGGCTAACATCCTTTTCAGGCACCGCCCATCAGCTCTCTTTTCAGAGTTTTTCAGCTGTGTTTTGTAGGCTAGTAATGTACTCACTACCATATGCGCAGTGGCAGGCCTGCTAACTATCATCGTTAACCCCCGAGACCGAGGTCTACTTAAGCAGCTGGCCCGCTCTCACGCTCAGCTGGTAGTTTTTTCCACACCCACCTACATACACCGTCCTACTTCTTCTCTGACGCTCACAACCACATCATCATATCTTTCTGCGTTGTTCTGTGTAGGCTTTGTTACTAACTCCATGCGCCACTTTAGGAGCAGCACTGTTAATTGGAACGCAACAGCGAATCGTGCAGGACTATCCCCAGCCGATGCTCCGAAACTTTACAATATTTAATTCGTAAATAAAATATTGAAAAAAGTTCCTTGCCCGTGCTGGAAATCGAACCCACGACCTTGCGGTCGTGAGACGGACGCTCTTCCACTGCGCCAATCCCGGCGATCCCAATAAACTAACTATTCATATATTTTCTGGAAAATTTTCAGTTCTGAAAAATTAAATTTTGTCGCACTTTTTACGGAAGCACCCCCGTATCTTATGTAATCGACTTTATCTTTGGACTTTCCCTTCCTCCTGCAAATTTCAGAACCCTACCTCAATAATTACGTGAGATACGGGGGTGTTTCCATGAGAAGTGAGAAAAAATTTAATTCTTCTGAACTTAAAATTTTCTAGGAAAACTATGAATAGTTAGGAATTGGGCGTCCTGATTCCGAATCCGATCTGATTTTCAACCTATTTTGACCCCTAATATCATTTTCCGGGAATTGGAGTGGTTCCATGGTTGTTGGCGAGCAGTGTATTTATACCAAAGAAGGGAAAGATTTGTATATTGTGCAAGAAATTCATTTAAAATATTCGTAGCATCAGAGCGCTTTCGACTGTTAAATCATCATCAGTGCGTACCTGTAAGTATAAGTAATCTGCTTTTAGCTATTGGAAAGAAATTGTTATTGAAAATTCTAAAAAAAAAAAATTTTTTTTGAAAAAATTTTTTTTGAAAAAATATTTTTGAACAAAACAAAATGTAATCCATATTTTACCCCCTTTTGGGAAACACATTTTAATTTGTTTGTAACGTAATTTACTTAAATGTCGTTAGTTTTAAACTGGACCAAAGAATTTTTATGGACGAATTTCCCTGTTAGTAGTAAGTAACCTCACTTTTATCAATTTCCAAATCCATATTTAACAATTTCAAATTTCGATTTTATTTTAATGTCTTTTTCAAATCAAAAGTTCATCAAAAAAGTAGCAAGATTCACCAATTTATATTTTAATTTTTTACTTATTCAATGTTGAACAAATTAAAAAAAACAGAAAAAAAATTGTTTCAAAAATATTTTTTCAAAAATTTTTTCGAATTTTTTTTTTTTTAGAATTTCCAATTACAATTTCTTTCCAATAGCTAAAAGCAGATTACTTACTTACAGGTACGCACTGATGATGACTTAACAGTCGAAAGCGCTCTGCTACGAATATTTTGAATAAATTTCTTGCACGAAATACAAATCTTATTCCCTTCTTTGGTATATATTCACGTGCACACAGCCCAGCAACCCTCACAGCTGTGTATATCACTGGAGATGACCCCACTTGGTCATAGAGTGCATTTTTGGTATATCTCTCGCTCCAGCAAATTTCAGGATCCTTTCCCAACGATTACGTAAGATACAGTGGTGTTTCCATTAGAAGTGGGTCACACTGTATATGGGTGTATGCAGAAAATGTAATGCTAGACAGTATGGATGTCAACAAATTGAAATCAAAAGTGTACTCAAGATGACTTCTCCTGCACCGCCATTTTAAAACTGAATGTCCACTTACAGCTTGACCATCCTAGCTTGGCCTCTGAGAATTGCATGCGCAGTAGACCAGTCGGCGGAGTATTGGGCGAGAGCTGATTATTGCCGAGGAATTGGTTCAATGTACATCGGTTAGAACAGTACCTACAGTACGATTGTACTTCCCAATAAAAAGGTGTAGTGTTTGTCGCACACTATAACCATATATTTGTCTATCGTTTGCGCATATCAGCGGCCAAGCTAGAATGGTCAAGCTGTACCTATGATATGATCATTTAAAAGGAAATTTTGCGCTCTATCTATACAAGGTCCCATTCAAAATTCTCAACCCATATACATATACTTATAGGTCAATTTCTGGTAAAATCGGTGGTGATATTCAATTGTTTTTTCATGGATGAAAAAGATGGGTTTCAAGAGACTCTATCTTAATTAATTGAAACATCCTGTAACTCTCATTTGATTGCCAACGTCACCAATTATCACTGAGCTCTGAAAAGTGTCAGAACAAAAAAAAATCCATTTTTTGTGTTGAAAATGGGAGCAGATTCGTTCCCGAAACGTCCAAACCTAAGTAAAAATTTGATATTTTTTCTATATAGGTACCTTTATTTCTCTTCTCCAAACTTTTCTCAATACACCCCAGCGAGCACAAAAACATCTCAGAGATGTTAAAAGTACGAGATTTCGAGACATTGAACCTCCACTGCGATGTTCTGTTCACACATGAATAGAACTATTATAGAACAGCCAATGTCCGTCGCAGGCGGCAATTATCGAGATGTCCTTGATATGTCACAAAACTATACCTTCTCCCTAGTTATTTTTAAAGCCTTTTCATGGACACAACAAAACATTTTCAACGCGTCTTGCGCACATTAAATCGCTGTAAAAAAACCATTTTCGAGGTACTTTTCTGAAGCCTTTTGTCAAAATGAACTTTTGCATTAGGATTCCATTTCCCTTGAATGAAAAAATGCATTAAAAATAGATTGAACATAAAAATATTTTCTTGATATGAAATTACCATCTTAATCGGTTTCTGAGTAGTGCTTACTACACACAGACATATAATTGCAAATAGGTTTCCCAATTTTTTAAATGTTCTCCACAATGCATAATTTTGCAACTGCGGAGAAGCTGTGTATTGATAAATTCGTACTTTTATATATTGATTACACTGAGGCATCGAACAACACATCTTGCATCTGATGGTCATTATTACAAACTAAATAAGTCTTCTAACACAATAAACTTCACCAAATTCCTTTCTGTTCGTTAGTCGTTGTAAGCATGAGACGTTGTGGTGGGGCAAACAAAAAAAGGGCACAAAAGAACAAAAACAATACTTTCAATATCCTTTTAAGACCTCTTTGGTCAGTGCATATTACGTCTCAAAATAACATCTTCATGCCAACATTTTCAAAACATCCCAAAACATCCCAGGGATGTTTGTGCTCGCTGGGACATTGTCACTGACAAGCTAGTGAATTTTTCTTTTAGGCTCTCTGATAGAAAAATTCTTTAAACGCAGTGACATTTTGGGGCAAATCATCTGATTAATATATATGTATATTGAAATAATATTCATATTTTTATTTTATAGAAACGAGGAGAGAGAATCCCAAAAAATCTGGAATAATGACTATATTATGTTCGTTCCAAATATCATCAGGAGTCTAATATAAAAAACAATAACGGAGTGTCGCTCTGTCCAATGATTTCGTTTTACCCCAGTATTGAAAATAATATTTACAAGTTGTTCAGAATCGAATTTATGCACGTAGCTTTGTTCCCACATCAGAATATTATCCTTTCCGTTTTTTCCTTGTCGGTCCCGGATCCTCACGGATCTTGTTCTTGCCCGTATGTATATACAGGCGTTCATAATAGGAGCTGGAGGCACGCTCCCGACGATATTCCCATCAATCATGATCCCACTTCCTGTTTACATGACGACATATCCGCATATATCCCTGTTATATCACTCATGCATGTTGGGGCATATTAAGGGGAGATGAATCGGTTCCGGACTATATTTCGATGCTTGGAAAAGTGTATAGAAAGAACACCAAGACGTGACAGAATAAGTAGGTATTAAATTTTTCAAATTCATAAGACTGATTTTCCTATATTTCTCCGGATATTTTTTATTGTCTCTTTGTTAGCGCCAACCTTCCGAAAATGAAGGTTCAGCCATAGGTCGCCTTCACCTATACTAGGTTTTTATTTAGATCGACAATATAGTTCAGCGACGGGTATTTTAATCCTTTATAGGTTGAGAAACTGGGAAAGTATAGGAAATGAAAGATGATGATATCAATGCGTTTACGTCATTTTACCGCACTATTTCACCTGAAGAAGCTTTAGCGAAACATCTAGTGTTAGTGTTATTAAGAATTTTGTTGAAATCTCATCTTTTGTGAAGTTTTTCACATTTACTATGGATTTCCGCATCAAGTATAACGACCGAGTCAATTCAGAAAGATAATATTTATATTTAATACATTCAATATTCTCGTTCCGATGATGTCGCTGCTCGTTTTTCTCATGGTTACCCATTATAAGGTAGGTATAAACAAATTATGAAAATGTGTGTTTTATTATCAGAAAATTGA